ATGAGTAAGAAAGACTTAATCACTTAGTGTAATCTGTGCTATGATTATTGATGATTAATTACGGTATGGGCAGATTTTGATTGTGCTGTTTGTGGGCCTTGAGCTTGTATGAACTCTTGGTTTGGATAGCTAGTTTACAAGGTAAGCTTTCGTGTCCTCGGTTTAGCCATTGTTGGTTCCACCATTTCCCATGGGGGGATGGTTTATATGCATGATGTGGTTTTCATGTATTGTTTATTGAAATGCTATGGAGCTGTTAAGTGCAATTGTTGTATGATATTTATGTGGTGTTTGCCTTAAAGGGAAGCCATGGGGTGGTCCTTTGGGGTGTGTGCAGCATGGGCTGATACATCATGGGCTGATATTGTGTGGGTAATAGACGTATTCCTGCACTTCTCTGATCAGTAGAATTGTTAGAACACACATGACATGATTATCTGCTGCATTGCACTATTTTGGAACTTATATTGAATAAATGCTTTTGAACTTATATTTGCACATGTAAGTGAGCTTGGGGTGGAAGATCCTTGAGGACACCTTGTCTTACTGAGATTTCTTTTTAGAGATCTCACCCCACGTTTGGGGCACCATTTTCAGGTTCAGGTAATGCCGGGGTTGAGACCTCCAGCGGCAGGAGGCTAGAGCTGAGTTAGATGATTGCTGTTATGATTATATGTTGGATGCTGGATTATGTCTATTGCTATTTTACTGTTAGCTTTATGATTATGTTGTAGCTGTTGAGATGTTGTTGGCTTATTACCTTATTTGGTGAGCATGGGTATTGTCCATGCCACATTGATTGACTATGTCTTAGTTTAGATTTGAGCTGTAATAATGTACCAGGATTATGTCTGGAATACGTGTTGTAGTTCCGTGATTTTAGATACTCACTGTTATTTATATTATGAGGTATTTCAGTTAGTTGTCTATTGCAACAGGCGATGTTTTTATGAAAATGATTAAGTAATCAACTTGGCTATGTATAAGGACGTCATAATTGAAAAGAAAAAGAAATTCTGCATTTTTAAATTAAGTGTGGCTTAATACGATGATATGTTAACAAACCAGATGCATACGGGGTGTTACAGGGGGCATATTTCAGGTTCTGCTTTAAGTGACGAGTCTTCAGAGAATACGTGACGCATAAAGGAATGGTTAGTAGACACAGCAGGAGCAGCATGATAGACTAACGTTTGATATTGTGTGGGTATGTTTACACTTTGGATAAATTATGTATTTAAGTTGAAAATATTATCGGTACAACTGTATATAATTTAGAGATGGTTTTATAGTTAAATGTTTGGATCTGTTACATACAGCGAAGTATGTCTGTATGTTTCAAGTTTGCTAAGAGTAAGTAGGAATCTCTGGGTAGATTCTGAAGATGTTAATATGAATTTGTATGTATTGGTCATGTCTGGATATCAGGTTTAAGAATTTGGATAATCTGATGAACAAAGGTTATGCTGTCCATTTTTACTGAATTGGTAGCTGTTACTTTTTGGTGTGAAGTTTTAATTCTATGCAGTTATGGGGCTGTATAGTTTTCTACAATGTTGTAAATATAAAGGATACAAAGTTTAAAGTTTTAATTAATCATGTAGTTTCAAAAGAACTATGTTGATACTTACAGGAAGTCTTCTGTTATTCTTACTAAATGAAGTGCGCATCTATACCGTTTTGCGTAGCATTCTGGTTAGGTAAACCAGGGTGTTACACCCCGAGTAAGCATCCATGAAGGACAACATATTGAAGCCCGATGCATTATCAACTAACTAGTTGATACTCGGGAAAGGTTAGGCATCTTTAGAGCATGCTTTGTTCATGTCGGTTTAGTCGACACACATCCTCCATGCATCGCTAGGTTTTTTGACGAAAACAGTGTTGGCTAACCAAGTGGTGTAGTTAATCTCTCTGATAAAGACTACGTTAAGTAACCTTTTGACTTCAACATCTATCATTATTTGGCGGTCTAGTTCAACCTTCCTCTTCTTCTGGGTGATCGATTTGGCTTTAGGGTCGATAGACAGCTTGTGGTAGCATAAAATCGGGATGAATGCCTGGCATGTCTGATGGCTTCCATGCAGAAAGATATTTGTTGTCTTGGAAAAGCTTGATGAGTTTGCTCTTCGTACCAAGGGGTATGGCAGCTTCGACCATTGTGCTCTGATTTTTTGTTTCTCCCATGGCTAAGTGTTCTAATGCTCCATTTGTTTTCCACCTGGGGTTATATCTGGCGTCAAATTCTACCATACGGAACTGGCAGATTTTGGCTTTCCCTCTTGTGTTTTTAGGGAACTGTGGAGTACTTTCTTCTGCATTATCTACTTCTTTAAACGTCACACCAGTGGACGGGTAGATACTTATATTGTAGCAGATTCGTACCATGATCTGATCTCCTCTTATGGTGGCGATTTTGTTGTTTTTGGCCACAAACTTCATGGCCAAGTAGGGATGGGAAATTCTGGCATTGAAGTCGGCTAACACCCTTCTCCCTAGGTTGACATTATACGCAGAGGGAATGTCTAGCGCCAAAAATTGTACATTGACAGACTTCAAGGTAGGGGGAGTCCCTAAGGAAAGTCGTAGCTCATTCATTCCCAGCGTTTTGATGATGGTTGCGTTAAAGGCCAATAGTTCGCCAATGATTGATTTTAGATCTTTTAGGCCGCAGCCTAGATCTTCAAGGCAGGGTAGAAATAGGACGTATGTAGAGCTTCCGTGGTCTACGAATACCCGATTAACACCGAATGATTACTTCTTGAATAAATAGCGAGTCATTATGCTTGTGCACTACTCCTTCAAGTTCGTCCGCTTCCCACACAATCTTTGGCTTCATGGGTTGTTTATGGTCTTTGGGTTTGGCGACCGGTCTTCCTGTGACCGCTAAATATTGTTTGAGGTATCTTTTCCTCCACCACCTAAACTGCCAAAAATCATGTTAATGAGCCCATGCTTGAATAGGGCTGAGCATTCACTTTCTCAGTCGTCTTTCTCTTTGTTTGAGCTGGAGGTTGTCTCATTCTTTTCTTGGTTTGGAGTGTCTATGCTCGGTCCGGCCTGTTCTACCGTTATCAGGGGATGGACTCTGGTTAGATCTACAGTGCCTCTTTTGTTATGTTCTCGGCACTGGTCATCTTTTTGGCTATTACTCTGTATCTTATGGATTGCCTCCCATAATCAATTCTTTGATTTCTCGGCACTCATCAGTGGAATAGCCATGACTCTTGTTGAACTTGCAAAACTTGAGGGGTTCCTTTGAAACTTTGGGTTTTATGGTGGGCAGTCTTTGCCCGTCTTAGCGGTCAATTTGCATGACTTCTTGGAAGATACAGGGGTAGGATGACCGAGAAGGAGAATGACTGGGATTCTTGCTAGAGAGTTTGTGGGATCACCTATCTTCATCTTCAGTTGTTTTCATATTTTACTGGGTGTAACACCCCAATTTAATAATCGGATTGTTAACTAACATATGGTCATACTATTTGCACATAACTAGATTAAAGTAGCGGGAGACTTAATCAAATTTCTAATTATCCAATGTGATTTTTACAGTATAACTTTTTCTTTTCAATTACCTTATACTATTTATTATAATTATTTGTACAGTCTTATACCTGCACAAATTCCAATTTAAATTCCAAGATATCATAGTCAATGATCAATCACTATCTGAATATGATAATTTATACCATTCCGTATATAGTCAAATGGACAGCATAATGGCTGTAAATCAGACTATACCAGGGATTAAATCTCACTATTTTAACCTGTTCCTAAAATACAGAAAAGTCTATCCAACATATATATACTGAAAATAGCTTTGTGCCAATACAACATCAAACTACATGACTAGATAATACACACATAGACAAACACATGCCACTGAAAAAGATAATCACTATATACATGCATGATGATATACTTTATGCACTAACAAAACATGTCTAAACAAAATTTCAAAATAGCCAAGTGCCCACTCCTCTAGGGTCATCTATCCTCACTTAACCTGTTGCTTTTGTGCTTGCTGCTTGAGCTTCATGGGACAAGGAGGTTTCTCAAAACGTGAGAAATCCCATTGCTTCTTTGGAACTGCAGCAGGTTTCTTCTTTGCCTCTTCTTTTTCTTGCCTTGCAGGCTCAATAACTGGTTCATCAACTTTATTTTTCGGAGCCACATTTGGCTTGTCTTGAGGAGTAATCACAACTCCACTCCTAGTTACAATGGATTTGCAGTCTGCCGTAGGATTCACAATGGTATCACTAGGAAACTGCCCTTGAGTTCTATCAGCCAACTGCCTAGACAACTGGCCTATCTGACTCTCCAAGTTACGGATGGAGGCATCTTGGTTCTTGTTGTAGGCTCTTGTCTCATTTATAAAGGCATCAGTGGTTTGCTTATGATCATTTGTGGTCTTGGAAAGCTGCAGCATTGCTTTCTCCAATTCTGATGGATCTTTATGTGGAAGAGCATAAGGTTGCAGATAATTGTTGGATTTATAATCCAAGCATCCCCCTTGATTTCTCCTCTGAAAATTGCTCCCTTGGCCGCCATTCTGATTCCTCTGGTAACTTTGGGTATTATGTGGTGGCCTTGGATCATACCACACTCCATTGACCTGGAATGGTTCAGCTCCATTGAGTGTAGGGCACTCATTAGTATCATGCGGCTCCTTGCAGTACCCACAGTTAAATACATTAACTTTAGATGTTGAGATCTGCATATTGTCCAGCTTGGCGTTCAGACTGGCTAGCTGTTGAGAGATTACTTTTTGCTCAGCTAGTGACGCATCATTGTTCCCTAGTTGTAAGATTCCCTTCTTGGGTTGAACTGGTTGGACTTCTATTGACACATTCTCATTTCTTGCCATGTAATCAATCAGCTCAAGAGTTTGAGCTGTTGTCTTCTTTCCTATGGTTCCATCGGCTGCACCGTGGACAACCATTATGGAATTTGGTGATAACCCATTGTAGAAGACTCTGACCTTTTTGGTGTCTGGCAAGTCGTATTGCGGACACTTTTTGATCAACTCCTGGAATCGGGTCCAGGCTGCACATAAAGTCTCTCCCGGTTGCTGAGTAAAATTGGTGATTTCATTCACAACTTATTGTACTTTTCCATGGAAAAATGCTCAGCAAAGAATTTGGCTGCTAAGTCATCCCATGTGCGGATACTACTAGGAGCCTGTCGATCTAACCATTTGAGAGCTCTCCCTGTCAAAGCAAAAGGAAACAACCTAAGTCTGATTGCGTCATCAGACACTCCATGATTCTTAGTTGTGTCACAAATTCTTAGAAATCTGCCCATAAAGTCATGAGGATCTTCGTAGTCCTCTCCACCAAAAGGAGTTTTCTCCACTAAGGTAATTAGCGACGGATGGATGTCGTAGTTGTTGGCATCTATTATAGGCTTGCCTATGCTGGAGTTAGGCCTTGTGAACATAGGAGCAAGAACTGACTCCATCAACTCTTATATGGGAGGTGGATTAGGGGCTTCCATCACTATTTCTGTGTGTGGCTTAGAACTTGAAGATGCTTCTTGCTTTCTTTGCTTGGCTTGCTTTCGATTTTTCTTTGCAGTTTTCTCGATTTCTGGATCAAACTGTAAAGAGTCTCGATGTACTTTACCTCGCATAAACTACAGCAAAAATATTAGTAACAAAACAAAATCCAATCAAGAAAATCAAAAGTTTAAATAAAATTGGTGTATTCAATCCCCAGCAACGGCGCAAAAAACTTGTTGTGAAAAATCGGCAAGTGTACCGATCGTTTCAAGTAATAAAAGGGTAAGTAGAGTATCGTCTCCACGAGGATTGAGGCACCGAAATTATTTTAATTATTCCTCTCTTGTTGGATTAATAAAATTGGTTTGAGAATAATTGTAGTTGTAAAAATTGAGAACAATTCAAAGAATTGTGAATAATTCAAAGATGATTGTAAAACCTTGAGAATAAAAGATTAAATTGAGAAAATATTTAAAAGAGTATTGCGGTAAAAGACACCAACACCTTTATGATCCCCACCTTGCAATATGAATTAATGTTTATATCTAATTTAACCATTGATCAAACAATTCACCATCTATTAATTAATTAGTTAAGCCCTAATTCCTTAGCGAACTTAACTTTATTAACCCTATTAGAATCCTAATCCCTTAGAAATTCCTTTTCAAGTTAAACTTTTTAAATCAGTGAATCTTTCACGTTTGCAATTCATGAAGCCTATGCCTAGTACGCACATGAATTGTTATTTTACCCTTGGTCAGGAACTAGAATCCCAATATTCCTATTGAAAACCCTAACCCTCACAATCCTAATAGAGACATCGGTTCTAAAAGAATTATAAGATGAAGAACAGGATAAAATAAATGCAATTGATATAATTAAATATAAAATTAACCAAACTACAAGGGGTTCACATCAAGGGTTGTGACCCTTACCACAATAATAAAAGACTAGCCAGACATGTTCATGTCTGACAATTCAATGTATGGAAAAGAATTCATAAATATATAAAAACCAGAAAATTTGGGAAGAAGAAACTTGCTCCGCGTTCTCTGCCTTCGTCAATTTCTCCTTGTGCCAAAGTTCTCTTTCTCAGGGTTTCTGACTCATTTTTATATCCAATGATTCAATCAGGTCAAAATCTTCCCCAAGATTTGATTTTCATTTCTATTTTTATCCAAATCCATAATTCAGAAAACTGACAGCGCAATTCCACTCTATTAGCGCCAGATCCACGCTAATAGCGCAGATGATTAATGAGGATTCCTGTACTTGGCGCTATTAGTGTGAGATTCACGCCATTAGCGTGAAGAGGCAGTGGTTGGCTCTTGTTTTTCTTCCACTTGGCGCTATTAGCATGAGATTCACGCCATTAGCGTGAAGAGGCAGGCAGTAGGGCTCCTCAAGTTTTCACGCTAATAGCGTGAAATTCACGCTATTAGCATGAGAAGGCAGTGAATAACATGTTTTGCACCATTATCACATTTGCATGCTTTCCTCCTGCAAAAACATTGAATTCAGCGTGAAAGTGTGTCTGAAGATGGATTATCAATAATTTATTAAAAATAATGCTTTTTATCACTGAATTACGTTCAAATCCATATTCTTTCTACTCTGAAATATCTATATGCCGAAGGCACATCACCCATTAATGTATCTATATATTGTACATCGTGTATCAATTTAATATTACACAGATTTATTTTAATGTTCCTCTCGTCTATTGTTATTTAACATGGTATTAAGAGCCTAACGAAAGGAACTTTGATCCTTTTTCTTCGGTGAACCCACTGTTCATCGTCTTTTCAAATATATTTTTTCGAGAACTACCTCATTGTCAGTTTTCGGACGTTTCTTTCCTTCTTCTTTCCCTTTTCTCTCCGCACAAAGACGTCAGAACCCCGTTGACCCGCGTTGAAGCCTCAACTCTGTCAACTACCACCGTCCGATGGCTTTTTTCGACGATCAACATATCGGCGTACTCGTCTCAGCGGCGCAATCATAACTGCCCCAGTCACGTGCCCAAAGGAAGTCACACGCGCTCTCACGCGTGCGTGTAAGTTGCGCCACCCTCTTCACACTGGCAGTGCGCGGAGGCTCCTCTCCGGGTTGCGTTCCTCTCTCTCACCACAATGGTTCTGGATCTGGTCTTGTTTTTGTGTTTTGAACCATTTTTGTTGACGCACATATCCCTCTTCTACCGGTTAGTTGTGTGATCTGTCTTTCTCATTTCTTTTTCTAATCTTGATTATGGATTCCCCTATCTCTTTTGTTTTTGGGTCTCCGGCTGGCTTCAAGTCGGAGTCTACTAATTTTTAAAATTATATCCTTGTTTTGCTGAGTGTGGATAAATTAGACGGGTCAAACTATGATACTTGGTCATCAGATATGTGACTTTGGTTGGATGGGCAGGATTATACATTCCATCTCACTACTAAGGCTGATTTTGTGGCGGCTAATGAGCGCACACAATGGAAGATGATTGATGCTCAGTTGTGTAGTCTCATTAAAGTTACTTTTCATCCGTGAATTAAGCAGATTTTTCGATCGGCCAATACTTGTGAAGCTATTTGGAGTCAGGCAAAAGCATTACACACCAATGATAGACAACGACTCTATGGTATATGTCAGAAATTGATGACTACCTTTGCTCCTCTGGACTTCAATTGTCCTATGACTGAATGTTTGGGGAAAGGTCAGAGTTTGCTTAATGATCTTAACGAACTTCTGCCCCTCACTGGTGATGTTACTAAGGAACAGGAACAGCGTAATACACTTTTTATGTTATTCATTTTATATGGTTTACCTGACCATTTGTCTGCCAATCGGGATCAAACTTTGGGATCTGCTACAGTTCCTACATTGGATTCTGTGATGTCAACCTTGCTTAGGATTCCACCTAAGCCTTCTACGTCACCAGCACCTCCTATGACGTCTGTACCTCCAGTTGATACTGATGATTCTTCTGCCCTTGCTGCTCAAGGTTATGGTCGGGGACGTAAACTCTCTAAAGGAAAGCTATTATGCACTCATTGTCATCAGACCAATCATATTGTTGACCGTTGTTAGAAGATCCATGGAAAGCCACCTTTACCTCCTCGGAATGCTCATGTTGCTCAGGCTTCCTCTAGTACCTCTACTCTAGGGTTTCCTTCCGTTGCACAACCTCCAGCTACTCTTCTTAATGAATTTGTGACTTGGTGATCTGAGAAGCTAACATCAGGTCCTACAGCATCCATTGCTGCCACTGGTAATTTTTTTGCTGGAATCTCTCAGTTACACTCTCTAGGCCCTTGGACTCTTGATTTTGGGGCTTCTGATCACATTTTTGGTAATAAGTCCTTATTCACTTCCCTTTCTACCACTGGTTCATTTTCTACTATTACTATGGCCAATGGGTCTCTGGTCCAATCACGTGGGATTGACACGGTTCTTCTTTTACCTTATTTATCTCTCGATCATGTTCTCTATGTTGCAGATTCTCCTTTTAACTTACTTTCTCTTAGTCGTTTAACAAAATCCATTGATTGCGTTGTTTCTTTTACTAAAACTGCTTTCGTCTTTCAGGATTGGAGTTCGGAGAAGAAGATTACCAAAGGATGTGAGTTTCACGACCTCTATCAACTGTTTCCTTCTTCTTCAGCAAGCTCGTCTGGATCATCCTAGTCTTGTAAAGCTTCAGAAGATGGTTCCACATTTATCGTCTCTTTCTAGTTTAAATTGTGAGTCTTGTCAGTTTGGGAAACATACTCGTAGTACGTTCCCTAGTCGTCTTAGTCGTCAAGCTGTCTCCCCTTTTTCTGTGGTCCACTCTGATATTTGGGGACTAAGTCATCATTTTTCTACTTTAGGATTTAAGTATTTTGTTACTTTTATTGATGATTATTCCAAATATACTTGGTTATTTTTAATGAAATGAGTGCCCTTCATCACAATGGTACTTGGGATCTGGTCCCTCTTCCATTTGAAAAATCTGTTGTTGGTTGCAAGTGGGTTTATGTTGTTAAGGTTGGTCCTGATGGTCAAGTGGATCGTCTTAAAGCTCGCTTAGTGGCGAAGGGTTTCACTCAGGTGTTTGGATTGAATTTTGTTGATACTTTTTCTTCTGTGGCGAAAATGTCTACTGTTCCCCTCTTTACTGCCATGGTTGCTATTCGCCACTGGCCTCTCTACCAACTTGATATTAAAAATGCTCTTCTTCATGGTTATCTTGAGGAGAAAATTTATATAGAGCAACCTCCTGGATTTGTTGCTCAGGGGGAGTTAGGTCTTGTTTGTCATCTTCGCAAGTCTCTATATGGTTTCAAGCAATCTCCAAGAGCTTAGTTTGCTAAATTTAGCAGTGTTGTTCAACAATTTGGCATGACTCTGAGTGAAGCTGATCATTCTCTCTTTTATCGTCATTCAGCTTCTGGATCTATTTACCTGGTGGTATATGTATATGATATTGTCATCATAGGTAGTCATAATCATGGGATTACTCAGTTGAAACAACATTTATGTCACCATTTTCAGACCAAGGATTTTGGAAAACTTTGATATTTCTTGGGAATCGAGGTGACCCAATCTAAAGATGGAGTAGTGATATCTCAGAGGAAATATG